TTCAAATGAGATTGAGGGCCCATTTTTGGATAGTGAATGGGGGTCTAATTAAACATACCAAATATTAAATAAAAATATTTATTATTAATAATTGTATATTAAAAATATTTATTATTTTCGGAGTTATTTGCATTAACAATTTAAAGCACCTTTTTTTTGAATCTATTATAAATTTTTTACTATTGTTTATAGAAAAATGTTGTCAGGATGTTTTTCACTCAAAAAATGTTGAATTTTAAGAAAAAATTTTTAATTTTTTACAAAATTTGTTTAAAAAAAAATTAATTTATTATTTTTAAACCTATCATCGGCCTCCATTGAAGCTAAAAAAATTCAAAAATATTGTTTAATATTGACCACATTAATGACCCAAATTTGGCGAGGGTGCTATTTTTCATATTTGAAAATTTTTTAAGTTTACGGTGCACATTCTCACGTTCATCTAGCCGGTGCTCCTCAGACATTTACCGTCCAGGTGGGCGCGCATTATTTGTACCACGAACTTCAAAGCAAATTTTTTTCTAAAATGAAAAATAACGCTCTTGACAAATTCGGCACATCAATTTGGCTAATATTGAACAATATTTATAAATTTTTTCAGCTTCATTGGAGATGCATAACAAGATTTAAAATATAAATAAATTTTATCTTTTAAGGAACTAAAACAAAATATTAAAATCTTTAATATCTTATTTTTTATTCTTAAAATTGAATATTTTTTGAGTAAAAAATATTCTTACAATTTTTCTATTAACAATAGTAAAAAAGTTATGGTAGATTGAAAAATAGTTGCTTTAATTTGTTTATGCAAATGACTCCGAAAATAATAAATATTTTTATTTAATATCTAGTATCCTTAATTAAACCCCAAACTATTATCCAAAAACGGAAGATAAATTAATTCTAAGATGTGACCCCTCAATCTCAAATTAAACTATATATATATATGCAATTCCATGATTTTTTATCACTCTTCGGAGAAACATCACCAAATTAAATGAAACCTTTTTTTCTAATAGGGTAACGGGTACAGTGACCGACACCCTGATCAAACTCTCAACTTTAAATTATATTTTGTCCGTATTTATTGAAGATTTTGTTATGAAATAAATTTTAAATAAAAGATTAAGTCTTAAATTTTAAGTGCATATGTTTAAAAATACAAAACATTTGGATGGAAGTTTGTAGTACCAATTTGAAAATGTTTCGTATGAAAACAGTGAACGACACCTTTTAATTCAGTGAACAATATTTAAACTATTCCTTAAGTAACATATTATTTATTAATATTATCACAAAGTTTAATATTCGAACTTGATGTACAAAACAAATTGCAGTTAAAATTTAATTTTTTATCAATTTCTTCATATTTACAAAAATTTTCATCAAAAAAGCACAATTTTGAGGTTAGGTTTTCTGGAAAGTAATATATTCAGGAAAATATAAACAAATAGAAAAGTTTGAAGAACTGTAGCAGTTTCTAAATAATGTATAATATCCAATTTATACCTGAAAATTTGTTCAATGTTATTATTTTTATTGTTATTATTCTTTTTAATAGTAGGTGTCGTTCACTGTACCCGTTACCTATTTATAAATATTAAGGTTTAAATAACAATTTTTTGAATAAAAATAATGGTTTATTTAAAAGATACATTAAATAAACAATGAAAAACTTTACTTTTAATTTACAACAGGAAATTAAATGGTTTAAAGATTAAAATGTTCCTTATTATTTTTCATGCATTCAAACAAAAGAAGAAAATTTTTGCTACATGATTTTAAATCTGAAAGAAACGATTGTGCAATTGTGTTAAAATGTAACTTAATAACATTAAATACTATACAAAAAGTTTAGAAAAAATAACAGTCAAGTTTTACTTGAATCGATAGAATTATGCACAGAGATAGAATTTTATTAATTGCGTTTTTTGATCTCTTATAACTTAAAACAAAAATTATGCAGAAAATTCTATTTTTAATTAATGTACTGACAAAAGTATAATTTTATCTTTTCTGAAAAAACATTGCGATAAAAGGTAAAATATATCGAAAAATACCGTTATAAAAATAAATAAAGATTGGAAATGAACAGTTTGATTTAGAGTCATTTTCTTCAAAAATAATAATCTATATATAATGTATAAATTACTTTTAAGTTGTTAAAATTTTATTTGGCGAAAAATCATTAAAAACGTTTAAATTATACAAAAAAATTTATCGCTAAACTAGTATTATACAAAAAGCAGAAATTAATATAAATAATCACTGACATATTTTCAAAAGTGTTAGGATATACCTTACTGAAAATCCATCTTTGTTGACATTTTATGTTACTATTGAAAGTAGGCAACTTTATCAAATCTCCGATAATCAGCGTAACTTTTAACAGCTTTTAAACATATTCAAAAAATGATATTAATACGAAGTTTAAGATAAAATGTCAAGTCACACTTCAGCAACGAACATAACCTATTGAGATCAGATTGTTCACATTCATATCAAAACTGATACTTATTTTCTTTATTTTTATTTAAAAAATCGGTTAAAGCAAAAATACCACTTCAAATTATACGCATAAATTCTTAACAAAAACAGAATTGTTGAATCACTGCACTTATCAAAGAGGTATCAACTCAAGTTTCCATGGAAACTTGGAAGCGTAAAAAAAGCAATTGGCTATAAAGGAGGTTTTACCAGGTCCAGTAAAATTCTCATTCATCAAGCTGTATCTACAATAACTTTTTTTACATCTGTTTGCGTGGCCTTGATGACGTCGCGAACAAAATGCTATGTTAAAAAGATGCGCGCACATAATTTCTACAATGCATTTTGTTCACATCGATGAAAAAGCTGTTGTGGAAGCAGCTTCAACCTATAGCAAAAAAAATTGGACTTGTACTTGACTTTTTCACCTATTGTAGAACCTCCGTAAAAACTGATTTCTTTCTTCGATTTTTCATTTCTTTTAATAAATTGACTTGCGTCTGCAACGCAAGAAGAGGATAGAAGAGGACACTGCTATGTCTTTCCTTTTCTATCGTATGTGTTGCTTCGGCAACCGTTGCTCTCCATGAAAAGGAACCTTTACTGATGAGTCCAGGGTAGTGTAGTCCGGGACAACACGACTCGTGGTTACAAACCACGCCTAAAGCTGCTTTTACAACAACTTTTTTTCGCGAACAAAATTCTGTTAAAAAGATGCGCGCATTGTTTTGACAGTGTACAGTTTTAGAAGCAACTTTATATATTGCTCAGTGTGACCAAGTTTTTAAGGGCAACGCAAGCGAAATACGAAATCCATATGATCGAAAGAGATGAACAGATATCACTTTCTCTATCACTAATATTCATTTTCCGTCGACGCTTTTAAGGTGTGCAAACGCCTTTACGCCGGCATGGGAGGTAATATGCCAAAGGGTACGATCCCATGTGAGCAGAAAACGTCGACCGAAAGCAGAAAACTATAAAAGTGAGTGAGAAGTTGTCTCACTTACTCTCATCGCTTTCTGCTTTCGGTCGACGTTTTCTGCTCACATGGGATCGTACCGTGGATCGTACCCAAAGTCGCAATCGGAAAAATGAATAACTTTTTTGCAAACTGCCCAACCCTGATAGACGAAATTTTCAAAAATATCATCCATTAAATGCGTTTGCACACGTGAGCGATTTTTGATGTCTTTCTGAAACTTGTAATCAACTGTATTTTGGACAGATGCGATTTTAAGGCGGCATATTTCTGAAAATAAAATGTTATAAAGTGCAAATAATAAATAAAGTTTATTTTATATTAAAATTATAATTTTTTTATCATTTATACTTTATAACATTTTATTTTCAGAAATATAAAGATCAAATTTTAAATTCGCCGCCTTAAAATCGCATCTGTCCAAAATACAGTTGATTACAAGTTTCAGAAAGACATCAAAAAACGCTCACAAGTTTTAGATATATCTAAAACTTGTGAGGTGTACCTTTAAGGTTGGGTAGTTGACAAAAAAGTGATTGATTTTTCTGGTGGCGAATTTGTCAAGTTATGATTTTGGCATATTACCGGGACGGATCTTTCAGAATATCCATTGCCAACTCTGGAAATTTTCTACAACGAATTGTGGATTCCCCGAAAGTAGAATGAATAAGGCTGCAGTCCCATGGCAGCGTTTTGCGTTGCGTTTTGTCACTAGACCCTGAGTGTAAACATAGCAAACATATATCTGCATCTCTTTTACACTCATGGTCTAGTGACAAAACGCAACGCAAAACGCTGCCATGGGACTGCAGCCTAAGGCCAAAGCAAAACAGCTTTCCGAAAGTCGTTCACGAACGTGGTTCATGAGATAGAAAAGGACACAAATATTGGGAACTGTGGTCTAGTAACAATCTAGTAACTTTGACCCATTCTCTCCCTCCATTTTGTTTTTTCTACTCTTTCTAACCTATTAATTGAAGAGAGACAAAGAAAGAAAATGGAGGGAGAGAATGGGTCCCCACCAGATGGCGTGTTGCAGTTTAGCCGATCCCAATACATACCTCTGTCCTTTTCTAACGTATGCATCTCGTTCGCGAACGACTTTCGCAAAGTTGTTCTGCTTTAGCATATACCTTCGTCAACGTGAAGTGAGTTAAAAAAGGATTGTAACTCAGAGATTCCAGTGACCCTACCTAAACGGAACTGCGCTTGCGCCGCGATTACTCTCCTATTGGCAAGAATTAGCGCGCTTATATAAAATGCTTTAACAGAAGAAAATGTTAAGAAGACAACAAAAACATTTGTTTAAACATCTTATTAATATAACATATATATATATATATATATATATTATATTAATAAGATTTATTTTGAAAAAAAGCATTATTATTATTCAAAATAAACAATCAATTAATAGTAGAAAATGTTTTTTTGTCTTCTTAACATTTTCTTTTATTACAGCATTTTATATAAGCGCGCTAATTCTTGCTAATAGGAGAGTAATCGCGGCGCAAGCGCAGTTCCGTTTAGGTAGGGTTATTGGAATCTCTGTTGTAACTTGTGCGGAAAGTTAATATCCTTCTACCTCAAATCTTTTTTTGAAAAAATTTTATTAATTCTTCAACATGACAAACCAAGAAAAAAGACGAAAATTTTTATTAGATTGTTTCACAGAAGACGGTTGGTTTTACATTGTAAAGAAAAAGGCAATATTAGTGACTGATGACTCTGATTTAAAAATCGGAGCAAAAGTCCAATTTACGTACACCGATAATGATAAACAGCAAAAAATTAGAAAGGGAAAGATAATTATGGAATCACGTAAGTATACTCTGTATATTTTATATGTACATATATATTTAAAATAATTTTTAAACACTTGAATTACACCCATTAAATTTTTAATATTTCATGATTAATGTTAATACTAGGCCTATTAAATATTGTTTATAATATGTTTTCATTGTTATGCTTTTTCTTTATTCTGTCAATATGATCTTATTTTGTATTTTTATAAAATCAAATATAATTTATAAAAGACATTCAAGACTATGCAGTACCTTTAAAGTTTTTCATCAATTTTTGTTTTCCTTGTTAATAATTTGAAAAGAATCATTTAAACAAAACTCGGAAATTGGTTACAATTTCAATATTTGTTAATAAATTATTTTATAAGCAAATATGAATGTAAGTTATAATTTTTCAGAAAGTGAAGAAATTTTAGATAAAGAGATGAACAAGAGGATAGATGAAATTGAAGAAAATAATATTACAAGAGATGAAACTATAGAAAAAGAAAAGTTGGAGTATGAGCTAAAAAGAACAAAGTTCATTGAAAGAGCAAGAGAGGGGAATGTTTATATGGCATTACAACTCCAACAAGATTTAAATGTGGAAACAAAAGAAGATTTAATAAATAGAGTTTCCAACGTCTTAACAGTAAATAAAGATATTAATGAGGCACTTACATATATTGAAAAGGTATTTTTTTTTATACATATACATATATTATATTTATATATATATTAACAGGGTTGCTACGGTCAGGGAAAACCTGGGAAACCTGGAAAAGTCAGGGAATTTTATAAAATATTGTTTTAAAAATTAATTTTTTACAATATAATATTATAATAAAATTTTTCGAAAATTTAATCAACCTCATGGAAAATTAAATTATTTAAAATATTTTTTAATTCAAAATTCTCGAAAATTTTATTATTGTCTGCAACTTTAAAAAAAACTGTAATTCAAATTTATGAAAATTTTATTTAAAAATCTCGTGAAATTCAATTAATTAAAAAATATTTATCTAAAATTCTTTGTTAAATTAATTCAAGAACTTTTATCAAGTTTCTTAACAATTAAATTATTTAAAACATTTTTCAATTTAAAATTCTCTAAAATTCTATGTTTGTCTATAGTTTATAAAATAAATGTCATCAATTAAAATTTACGCCAATTTTAAATTCAAAATCTCCTAAAATTCAATTATTTTTAAAAAAATTTTAACTCGAACTCTCAAAATTCAATTATTCTTCAAATTTGCATCTAAAATTTTTCTCAAAATTAATTTCCTAAATAATTTTAATATAATTTTTTAATAATTCAATCAATTAATGTATTTAAATTTCCATTTTTCTCTCCCCTAATTTGAGATAAACTCCAATAACTGATTTTTCAAGTTAGATACAGAACAAATTTGTTAATTAGTAACTTTATTGTAAATTTCATTGAATTTTTAAAATATATTTACATATAAACTAAAACTTTATTACAACAATTTTATATTTGGTCAGGGAATTTTATGAAACATGGTCTGGGAAACCTGGAAATGTCAAGGAATTTTGAAACTGTAGCAACCCTGTTTTAAATTCTTCAAAAATCATTAATTTTCAAAATTATCTGTTTACATAACAGGACCTGCAAGGATCAAATATTCAATAACCTTAAACTAAGGAGAAGAAGGATTCTTAATCGCATTTCGACAAAATAAATATTTGAGACTGAATATATTTAAAGTTCGATATAACTAACACCTAAATTGTATTTAATATTTAATAAAAAAAATGTTTGATTAGTTTAATAAAATCTAAGTCTATAGCCATTAAGTTATCATTTGAGCCTCAATGCAAACACTTCACTTTTTTCTGTTCATTTATTTTAGTTTTTTTCGAATACGAAAAAAAACATCGTTTGATGTTTAAACATGGAAAAATAGTTTGAGCGCTATTGAATAAAAAAATTTCACCTTAATCACTTCAACTGAAATCCTCCTTATGCAAAACATTTATACAAATTTATTAAATTTTGAATTTAACTTCAAGTTATACATTTTTTATTCTATATTGGATTTTATTAAAAGAAAAACTAAACAATTTCATCTATCCCTTTACTGGTTGCCATGACATTACATAGAAACATTAAAACAAAAATTAAACATTTCTATCAAACATTTAGTTGGTTGACAAGACATAACGAAAAAACATTTAAAATAAGTTTAAAGTTGAGTTTGAATAATTTTTTTTTTAAACAAAATGAATGAGGATTTAATTATGCTGGAAGGCGATGGCTGCTATACTATCGTCAATAAAAGTTCAATTATATTTAATATAAAGAAACCAGAATTAAAAATGGGTGAATCAGTGAAATACTTATGGCCGGAAGAAGCAGCAGTTAAAAAAACTTTCACTGGTAAAATAGTTGCATTTTCATGTAAGTATCACATAAAATAAAATTTATTGAAATTTTAATTTATACATATTTTGTTGTCTCAATGATTTATTTTTCATAAGATTAAAATTTAATATTTATGTAGCAGTAATTCCTCTTTAACCTGTTTTAATTAATTAAAATTATATTAAATTTTGAATTTCTATACATATTTTTTTTGTAAATAATTTATTTTTCATAAGATTAAAATTTTGTTGTTATATTTGAAGCATTGGTTTTTTTAAAAATGTTATCAATTAATTTTTTAATTTTTATTTATACTAATTTTTTTAGAAATATTTTATTCTACATAAGATATCATTTTATATTTATATATTTGAATCATTGATTTCTTTTAAACCTTTTTAAATTAGCTCATGAAGATGAATTATTAAAATTGCGTGAGGAAATGTTAAATGCCGACCGGAAAACTAAAACCAAAAAGCGGAAAATTGAAAATCCTTCAGCAAATGACGAAGCTTTTAATAAAGTACATAGTTCTTTAAAATTATTTATGAATAAGTACATTAAAATTGTAAAAATGTGGTTATTATTTTTATCTTATTTTGATTATTGTGTATTTGATGTCTATTGACATTTGTAAAAATAAATTTTATTTTGTAATATTTTTAATTTAATAAATTTTACAGAAGCAGATAAAGTCCAGTCCTCATACTGAAAATGTTTTGAAAAAGTTGGATGACATTATACGCCTAAATAAACAATTGACAGTTGAGTTGGAAGAATTTCGTGAAGTAAGATTGTATTATATTATATTTAATTATATTATTATATTATAATTTGATGATGAAACAGTTTTTAAAGCTAAATTTAAAAATATTTATTGAAATTTAATTTTTTTAAACTAAAGTGTTTTCTTTAAGAAATAATTTATTAAATTTTGAATGTTTGTAGGTAATTCAAAATACAGAACTGACCTCAAATGCTACTGGAAATGTTTTAGACAATGAATTTCAACAATCAGAAACTCTTTTTATTGTCGATAAAGAAGAAGGTCAGCAACCTAAACCATTGCCAATGGTTTTGAGGTCTGAACCAAAAGTGATTGAGAGTTCCTTGGAAAAACCAATGTTACCTTCCGCGTCCCCTTCTCGTGATATGATGGAGGATGATGATTTGGAGAAATATGTGGCAGAAGGAATTGGCATGGAATCGGATGATTTAGGAAATACAAATAAAACAGAGAGTATATTTGTATTTGTAAAAGATACTGCAGGCAATAAGGTAAATGAAACAAAACATTTATAAAATTTTGTTTAAAAATGTTTATTTATTTTTATTTCCATTTATATTCTTGTCTATGTTAGAGAGTTATCATTAAACGAAATTTCTATTTAACCAAGGTTTTATTTTAAAATATTTCTGCTTTATTTCATTTCAATTTCATTTAACATTAACTTTATTAAATGAAATGTGTTATGATGATACTAAATTTAATAACTTATAATATAATATAATAATTTGAAGTTAGAAATAATATGTATTTTCCAACTATATTTCATTGCTTTCAATGTATTTATAAAAATTGTTAAAACTTTTCACGCATACAGAAACTATAATGAAAACCATAATCAAAAATTTCTTCTATTCAAATTTTTGTTTAATTGATCTTTTCCATAATAACTCTCAAGCTTCACAGTGCTTCCCCTATTTCCCTATTTTTCCTTTATTTAAGAAAATTCCCCTTTTTTATGAATATTTACCCTTTTTCCTTTTTTTCACTCATTTCCCCTATTTTATGTTAAAATTCTAATAATGAGATATTTCATAAAAATTCAAATTTGAACCAAAAAATTACAAAGCCTCGGATTGCACGACTATTTCGATTTATTTTTATAAAATGTAACTTTTTAAAATTTTTTTTAAAATTTTTGAACAAAATATGACTTTTTTAGTATAATAACTAGAATTATTTGGAAAATTAGTTATTTATTAATTAATTATTTTCAATATAATTGAATTCAAATTCTTCGAAAATTATACATAATTTAAAACATGTTATAATTAAAAATTATTTAAAATTCAATTATTATCTGAAGCCATTTGAAATTTATGAAATTTAAAAAAATGAAATTTAAAATCTTCTGAAAATCAATTATTTTAAAAATTTCAACTCAAACTCTACTAAAATTAAATTCTTTCCTAAAAATTTTTCCACTAAATTAATTCTTTTTAATAATTTTAATGAAATTCTTTAAAAATTTCATTATATTTTTAACCATTTTTTCAATTTAATATATTCACTAAATTCAATTAATGTTTAAAGTTTGTCAAAAAATTTCACTAATTCAAATTTGTGAAAATTTCAATTTACAGTCTCTTAAAAATCAATTATTTAAAAAATTTTAACTCACACTTTTCTAAAATTCAATAATTTTTCAAATTTTTAACTTATATTCTTTGTTGAATTAATTATTTCCGATAACTTTAATCAAAGTTTTTGAAAGTTACATTTAGTAATTTATTTACATTAATTTCATCAATTTCTTTAATTCTCAAATAAAAAATTTTTTAATTTCAATTATCTTCTGAACTTTGCAAAAAACCTTCCTGAATTCAAATTTACCAAAATTCCTTTTTACATATCTCCTGAAATTTTAATTATTTCTATAAAACTTAAATATATCCCTTCCAAATTAAATTATATCTAAAATTCTTTGATAAATTAATTATTTCAATAATTTTAATTTAATTTCACAAAAATTCAAATTTTTATTAAAAATTCTTTAAAATTCAACTTCTGTTTAAAATTTTGTCAATAACAACAATTCAAATTTACAACAATTTCAATTAAGAAATTAATTATTTTTAATAATAATTATCTTCAAAAATTTAAATATTTAAGACATTTGCAAAAATTCTGAATTCGGATAATTTGTACAGTAAGTTGAGATTTTTTCTTATTTTTGAAGTATAATTTTAAATTATTTTTCAAAATTTGTTCTACTGAATTAAAATATTGAAAATTTTTCCTAGTTTAATTCTGACAAAAAAAAGTTCATAGAAATGTTTCTGTGAAACATTCTTATTACAAAATTTAAAAAAATTGATTTAATTTCTAATAATTAATGTTAATAATACTAAAATATTCATTAACTAATAAAATTTATTAAAAACAAAAAACATCGACTTTTTCGACTTTTGTTGTAATAGAAATCGACTCAAAAGACTTCATTTTCTTTCTAAAGTCGATCCGAGGCTCGAAGTAGGTAAATTAGACATTTTTTTATCGGAAAAATAATTTAAAAATAATTTTAAAAAATAAAAAGCGTTTATTTATGAAATGTATGCAATTCAAATTTTTTGTTAGATATTGAAAATGACATTTTAAAAATTATTATTATATTGGGAAAATTTCTCTTTTAAATTTCAGTTTTCTCTATAAATTTATCATCTTTTTGAATTTGAATTTCTCAAATCAAAATAAATGTCTCAAAAGTTTCGCCGGTAGTGTAAGTTAAAACGACTTTAAAGCATTTTGATTAAGAAAAATATACATTTAGATTTTGCCCTATTTTTCTCCTTTTACAAACAAAATTTCCCCTATTCCCCTTTGTTTAGCTTATGCTGTGAAGCATGTACTCTCTAAATTTGAAAAATTAAAATTTTACTTATTCAGGTTTAGAGAATTTAATTAAAGCATTAATATGTATTTTAAAATTTGAGTAAATTGATTTTTCGGTAAATTGAAAAGTAAATCAATCAAAATTTAGATAACTTTACATGTACATCAATATGGGTGATTCTCCGCATAGCGCACGTTTTGATCATAGAAATTATTTTTAAAAATAATTATTAATATCATATAAGTCAATATATATTCTTCAAGTTGAAGGGTCTAAAATGAAGAATCCATGGTGGGCCGAACAAAATGTTGATAATTTTTTTTTCGTTTGAATAACACAGACAATTTAATAGAAAAAGCCATACAATGATGCTGAGACCATACCATGACGCACTAGAAAAACTGATTTTTTAAAAAATTTTTTAACGATTTTCATTCTGTTTCATATTTACGTCATGTATTTTCACTAAACTGATACTACTATACTTTAATTGCTGTCAAATTTTAATAATTATTAATTTTATTGCTAAATATAGTTATGATGACCATACCATGACGATTCTGTGATTCCCTAGGTACATTTGATGCTTTTGATGTGTGAAAAACAAAAAAATTAATTCTGAAAGCAGTTTCTTTTGTAGCAATTAACTTAAGAGAGCTAATTGTTGCTTTTAACTAATGTTTAGTGAAGTTTCGACTTGATTTTTATGTAAAAATAAATTTTATAAAATGACCATACCATGACACGAAAACGAGGAACAAGAATTAACACAAAAAAAATAAAATAAATTTTTTTTCACAAATGCTGTTTTTCACAATTCTACTAACATAAACAACACGAAACCATCAATAGTTTTTATATTGATTACTATATTTTACTAAAAATAACATTTTTTTAAGAAAAATGTTATGCTGTTGGGGGCAGGCCATAAGATGACGTTTTGGCACCTTAAAACAGCTTTTAAAGTTAAATTAAAAATTTTTTAATAAAAACGACAATGGGCCTTTGTTTGTAAACATGGGAATTAGTTTTTCCCGTTGGATTCATTGCAATATGTGCAATTGATTTTTTAAAAAACACGAGGAACATTAAGTTGTGTGCTACGCGGAGAATCACCTACTACTATCTGATTTCCTGCCATAAAATTTTTTTCACACTTTACTTGACTTGTGGATACCCAGATTTTTTATAAATAGTAGAATTTCTTTTCACAAATTTACTTATTATTGAATGGTTAGAATAAATCAAAAAATTTATTTTTAGGCAGAGGAATTAATGCCGAATAGTAATGTTTATATAGAAAAATCATCGTTTAGAGATATAAAAAAGAAGGCGACATCTCAAACGTCACTTGCACGATTCCTTATGTGTTCCATTTTTACCCAGAAAGCACTACAGGAACACAAATTACCGGGAATAAACCCCAAGGAAGATGAGAAAGGAATTTGTCTCCCACTTTCAGTTGTAAACACCATATTATGTGAGATATTTTAAAAAGTGAATATATATTAACGTCTTAATTAGAGTTGTACAAAAAGCACGAAATTTCGGGGCGGGTCAGAATAACATTTTTTGAGCCAGGCAGTACTCCAGCTTTTTTGATATATATCATGCACCCATTCACATTTGGGTAATCGAAAACATTCGGGAACCAAAAATTTTCAGAAGCTCAAACTATTCGGGTACTCGAACGCATTACGGTACCAGATAATTGATTGTAAAAAGTACCTGAAAGATTTCGTGCTTTTACAGAAGTCTGATCCATGCGAAATCATTTGGAAATAATCTTTTTTTGAAAAGGTGTAAAATAATTTGTGAGATCCCATTATTTTCACCTACAAAATATAGTATTATGAAAATCATCATTGATCATTTTAATCCCCCCAGAGCACCGAAACTTTCCTAAAAATTTATTAAAGATTTACTTGCAATATTGGGAATATTTAATTGCAATGTTTATTAAAAGTTGTGTAATGGTTTAAATATCTCACTCGAATAAATGTTTAGCACGAAAATTTCCTGAACATTTAAATGAAATCTTCGCCTAATTATAATTAGGCGAAAATTTTCAGGAAATGTTCAGGAAAGTTTCACACTAAACATTTATTTAATCGGGACATTTAAATCTTTACACAATTTTCACTAAACATTGTAATTAAATATTCCGAATATTGCAAGTAGATCTTTAATAAATTTTTAGGAAAGTTTCGGTGTTGTGGGGGTCCTTTAAGGTCACATTTGGGTTGTAGCCACTCAGCCATAAACTTGAATTAGTAATTTATGTTTTTTTAGTTGTAAAATTCATAAATTTTTTCGATACCACAGATTTAATATTTCAGTTTATGAACAACCGCTTTCTGTAAACCTAAACATTTTCAAATACAGCTATTTAAAAATTACCATGGTTGGCAACCACACAGTGTGACAATAAAGGGTAATACACTTTTTAAACACTTAAAATAAAAATATTTTTTTTGTTTTAGTGTATGCTTCTGAGAAGGCGAAAAGTAGACATTGGACAGTTTTCGATAACCGCACAGTGAGAGAAAGTCTTCGTTCTAAACTTAAAGAACTAAAGAAAAAGGGTTCAAAAAAAAAATCTCTCTCGGCTTAAAAGTTGCAATTTAATTTAAATATAATTTAATTTTTTTAATTGTTGTTGAAAAGTTTAAAGTTACAATAAAATAAACTAAATTCTTTTATCACCTTATCATGTATTTAAATTATTTTAATTCTATAAGATTTTATTTTATACCTATATTTTCATAAACTTTCATTATTAGTGATATATATTATTATTGAACATTTTAATTACTATAATTAAGTTACGTAATCACAAAAAAATTATTTAAAAAATTGTCATTAATTAAAAATAATAAAGAAGATTAAAAATCTTAAGGTATATTATGAAGACTTACTTTTTTATAGTAAGACTTCATATAGACATAGTGGGCAAAAAACTATGTTCGTACCAAAAAAAATTCTTAAAACGTTTTCAGAATGTTTCATGTCCGCTAAACAAGGATCTAGAACATTTTAAGAACATGGATGTTCATATAATGTTCTAGAACATTATTTGGCGGACATGAAACGTTCTGAAATCGATTGTTCTGAAGAAGTTGTCCAATTGACTCCTAGTCATCATGATATACGTTGGAGTCATCCTGGAGTATCGATTGTTTGATTACAGCTAAAATTCTCTGGAAAAGTTGTCCAATTGACTCCTAGTCATCATGATCTACGTTAGAGTCATCCTGGAGTATTGATTATTTGATTACAGCTAAAATTCCCTGGAGAAGTTGTCCAATTGACTCTTAGTCATCATGATGTACGTTGGAGTTGTCATGGAAACTCAATTATTTGGTTGAAACGAAAATTCCCTGAAGAAGTTGTCCAATTGACTCTTAGTCATCATGATGTACGTTGGAGTTGTCATGGAAACTCGATTATTTGGTTGAAACGAAAATTCCTTGAAGAAGTTGTCCAATTGACTCCTAGTCATCATGATGTACGTTGGAGTCATCCTGGAGTATCGATTGTTTGATTACATCTAAAATTCCCTGGAGAAGTTGTCCAATTGACTCTTAGTCATCATGATGTACGTTGGAGTCATCCTGGAGTATCGATTGTTTGATAACAGCTAAAATTCCCTGGAGAAGTTGTCCAATTGACTCCTAGTCATCATGATGTACGTTGGAGTTGTCATGGAAACTCGATTATTTGGTTGAAACGAAAATTCCCTGAAGAAGTTGTCCAATTGACTCTTAGTCATCATGATGTACGCTGGAGTCATCCTGGAGTATCGATTGTTTGATTACAGCTAAAATTCCCTGGAGAAGTTGTCCAATTGACTCCTAGTCATCATGATGTACGTTGGAGTCATCCTGGAGTATTGATTATTTGATTACAGCTAAAATTCTCTGGAAAAGTTGTTCAATTGACTCCTAGTCATCATGATCTACGTTAGAGTCATCCTGGAGTATTGATTATTTGATTACAGCTAAAATTTCCTGGATAAGTTGTCCAATTGACTCCTAGTCATCATGATGTACGTTGGAGTCATCCTGGAGTATCGATTATTTGATTACAGCTAAAATTCCCTGGAGAAGTTGTCCAATTGACTCCTAGTCATCATGATGTACGTTGGAGTTGTCATGGAAACTCGATTATTTGGTTGAAACGAAAATTCCCTGAAGAAGTTGTCCAATTGACTCTTAGTCATCATGATGTACGCTGGAGTCATCCTGGAGTATCGATTGTTTGATTACAGCTAAAATTCCCTGGAGAAGTTGTCCAATTGACTCCTAGTCATCATGATGTACGTTGGAGTCATCCTGGAGTATTGATTATTTGATTACAGCTAAAATTCTCTGGAAAAGTTGTTCAATTGACTCCTAGTCATCATGATCTACGTTAGAGTCATCCTGGAGTATTGATTATTTGATTACAGCTAAAATTTCCTGGATAAGTTGTCCAATTGACTCCTAGTCATCATGATGTACGTTGGAGTCATCCTGGAGTATCGATTATTTGATTACAGCTAAAATTCCCTGGAGAAGTTGTCCAATTGACTCCTAGTCATCATGATGTACGTTGGAGTTGTCATGGAAACTCGATTATTTGGTTGAAACGAAAATTCCCTGAAGAAGTTGTCCAACTGACTCCTAGTCATCATGATCTACGTTAGAGTCATCCTGGAGTATTGATTATTTGATTACAGCTAAAATTCCCTGGAGAAGTTGTCCAATTGACTCCTAGTCATCATGATGTACGTTGGAGTTGTCATGGAAACTCGATTATTTGGTTGAAACGAAAATTCCCTGAAGAAGTTGTCCAACTGACTCCTAGTCATCATGATCTACGTTAGAGTCATCCTGGAGTATTGATTATTTGATTACAGCTAAAATTCCCTGGAGAAGTTGTCCAATTGACTCCTAGTCATCATGATGTACGTTGGAGTTGTCATGGAAACTCGATTATTTGGTTGAAACGAAAATTCCCTGAAGAAGTTGTCCAACTGACTCCTAGTCATCATGATCTACGTTAGAGTCATCCTGGAGTATTGATTATTTGATTACAGCTAAAATTCCCTGGAGAAGTTGTCCAATTGACTCCTAGTCATCATGATGTACGTTGGAGTCATCCTGGAGTATTGATTATTAGATTACAGCTAAAATTTTCTGGAGAAGTTGTCCAATTGACTCCTAGTCATCATGATGTACGTTGGAGTTGTCATGGAAACTCGATTATTTGGTTGAAACGAAAATTCCCTGAAGAAGTTGTCCAACTGACTCCTAGTCATCATGATCTACGTTAGAGTCATCCTGGAGTATTGATTATTTGATTACAGCTAAAATTTCCTGGATATGTTGTCCAATTGACTCCTAGTCATCATGATGTACGTTAGAGTCATCCTGGAGTATCGATTGTTTGATTACAGCTAAAATTCCCTGGAGAAGTTTTCCAATTGACTCCTAGTCATCATGATGTACGTTGGAGTCATCCTGGAGTATCGATTGTTTGATAACAGCTAAAATTCCCTGGAGTAGTTGTTCAATTGACTCCTAGTCATCATGATGAATGTTGGAGTCATTCTGGAGTATTGATTGTTTGAGTACAGCTAAAATTCCCTGATGAAGTTGTCCAATTGACTCCTGGATATCTGGATGTACGTTGGAGTCATCCCGGAGTATCAATTATTTGATTGAAACGAAAATTCCATGAATTCTGGGAAAATACCAAAAATTTTCCGGGAATGTTCTCAGAATGTTCTGGGAACTATTCTCAGAGTCACTCTGCAAAAATTCCGGGAACCTTTTCACGTGGGTATTGTGGAGTATAGATTAAAATAATTGATTTTGGTACTCCAAAGTAAATTTTTAACCTCCTCATTTTTTTGTTATATCTTTTTAGGAAATGATTTAAAAAAAGGCCAAATATCAAGTTTTGAGCTCTAACCTATTGTTTTCAAGGGACAATAAAGAATTTTGGATATACTTCCGAAGTAGGGGTACCTCCGATTTTAATAAAACTTGGTATACTAACGTATTTTGATGCGCTGATTACAAAAATGATAGTGAAAATTGGCGCAAATTTGATTATCATGCACTCAAAAAAATAAGTAGTAGATTTGACTACTTTTCAACTACCCTGTATAGTACAATAGGTCCTCAACTCAATTTTAAAAGTTGTATTAACTACTAAAAAGTAGTTAAAATAACTAAGAATGTAGTTAATATAATAAGATTTTGTAGTTAGTTTTAAATTCTAACTACATTTTTAAGTTAATTGTACTACTAATTTTTAACTACTTAAGAAATAGTGAAATTAACTACACAAACATTGTTAAACTAACTAAGAAAGTAATTTTTTTTAACTTCTTTTCACTTAACTACCCAAAGGTAGTTGAAGATTTCGGATAAATATTTTTCAGTGTGGTAAAAACCATAAAAAACACCATAAAA